AACTGAAAAAATGGAAATAAAGTGTTTGTAAATGGGGAGGGGAGAAGGGGGTGAAGGGAGGGCAGGGACAAGGAAAAAAATGAGAATCAAGACCTATTATGTAAAGGTACAGAATCCCAATGATGAATGTAACTGTATTTGTATACCTAGATTGTACCAATAACCTCAATAAAAAAGAAAAAAAAAGAGACTGACCTGGAACTCACTATGTAGCCCAGGCTAGTCTCAAACTCACAGCAATCCTCCTCCCTCAGCCTGCTGGGATTAAATGCTCCACCATGGCTTTATGTTTTCCCATTTTATGGGTTTCAGTTTACTCTTGATCACAGGTAGCAAAGGAGCTGAGCTAATTGCAGCCCACATTCAGGTCTCTGCACTGGTCCCCATGACATCTGAGTGTATAATTGATATATCCTGTGACTTTATAGGTGCAAGACAAAGTCTTTTGTCATGACAGCATATGAGGAGAAATATACAGCTCTTTTATATTGGCAGTACCCAAAGGGTTGGCACATTTGGCCAGAGAAAACCACTATTTACTTCACACTAGCTCTGGTTCTCCTTGTCATTATGCAATAGCTATTATAGCTAATGAAGATTCCTCAACAGCCTTACAAGGAACCCACTCTTTCGGTGTACAAACATTCATAAACCCTGTTGTTAAAGGAATCAAAGATTTGTGGTGCTTGCCAATCAACCAGACTATGAAAATGGAAGTTAGTGGAAGGATGGGCCTGGGGACTTAGCTCAGTGGCACTACACCTACCTCGCAAGAGCAAGGTCCTAAGTTCAATCCCCAGTATCAAAGAAAAGAAGAGGAGGGGGAGGAGGGGGGGGAGGAGGAGGAGGAGGAGGAGAATTAGTTAGTGGAAGGAAACAGGTTAATTCAAAATTAGCCATCAAGGTGATTTCCACCTTCTAGGAACTCAGAGGTATGAAGGATTGTTATGGAATAACAAAAAGGGGAACAATAAAATAATAAGCAAGAAGTCCATACAAAAAATGGGGACTACATATGCAGAGAGCTCCCTTTCTCATGCCTCCTCTTCTGTAGAATATCAAAAGAAAGCCAGACGTCGTTACTTGTATTTCCAGCTACTCAGGAGGCTGACGCAGAAGGATTACAATTTATAGGCCAGCCTAGGCAACTTAGAGAGGCTATTCAAAATAAAGAGTAGAATGGGCCCAAGATGTAGTTCCCTGGGAGAGCTCACTCCACGAAAACTAAAACAAAAGAAAAACAAAAAGCTATCTTAATGGAAGTTCAACTTCTTGAGGCCACAGCAGCATTTTTCATTCCACACAGAAACAATCTTTACTGAAAGTCAATTATCATAAACTGGGAAAAAGAGGGACATTACCAAAGAGTCCGCTCAGAACTTAGACCGCCAAATGAAAAGGATAGGTGCTAAAAATTTACAGAAAACATTATGAAACAGAGACAAAGACAACTCAACTAAAGTCACCTTCTCAGGTCCCAGGTCTATTATATTATTATGATTGCAGAATCAAGAATGGCAGCTTTAGCCCTTTTCTTCCTATTTCACATTGTCAATAGTACCATTTGGATCTTATTTACACGTTTTGTTTTTCACACCAGAGAAACTATTCAGTATTTACACATGTGTGACTTATGTATTTCACTTAAGAGTATGGCCTCAACTATAATAGTACATAAGATCCTAATGAGATAATTGACAATGTGAAATAGGAAGAAAAGGGCTAAATGTGTAGGGAAAATGGGAAGGGTAGGGAAAAGGTAGTAACAGAAAGGAAAAAAATAGGAGAAAACGAAACAATGGAAATAAAATGGTTGTAAATGGGGAGGGAAGAAGGGGGTGAAGGGAGGACAGGGACAAGGGGTAAAAATGAGAACCACGACCTGTCATGTAAAGGCACAAGATCCCAATAATGAATGTAACTGTACTGTATACCTGAAATGTACCAATAAACTCGATGAGGAAAAAAAAGAGTATGGCCTCAATATGCATCCATTTTCCTATAAATGACTCTAATTTCTCATTCTTTATGCCTTAGTACTTCATTTTATAGAAAAACCACACCTTCTTTATCCAGTCTCCAACTGATGGGCAATTGGGCTGTTTCCAAGTTTTAGCTATTACAAGACCTGTCATGTAAAGGTACAAGATCTCAATGATGAATGCAACTGTACTGTATACCTACAAAGTACCGATAAACTCAATGAGGGAAAAACAAGAATGGCAGATAAAACTTCAAGGGTTCGTTGCTCTTCAAAACACATTCTCCTTCACTCTCTGCTATCTGAGTATCTGTATCAAGTGAGGGGGTAATGTTGGTCTAGTGATCTACTGTGACCTTCTGGTGGTTGCATATCTTGTTCATGTGTGACCTCACCTGGGCTCTGATGATCCAGGTAGAGACTCCAGAGGAGTCACTGGAACTGACTCCTGTGATAGTCTTATGCCTACCTCGCCATCAAGACGGTAATGGTTGTTTCATTCTATGAAAAAGATCTACAGTGAGAAGGAGAGGGAAAGAGGAATAAGGAAAAAGGAAAACAATATGAGAAAATGTAAAAATGGAATTAAAGTGTTTGAAGGTGGGGAGGGGAGGAGGGGGTGAAGGGAGGGTGGGGACAAGGGGAAAAAATGAGAACCAAGACCTGGCATGTAAGGTACAAGTTCCCAGTAATGAATGTAACTGTACTGTCTACCTAGAATGTACCAATAAATTCAATTTTAAAAAAAAGAAAAAGATCTACAAGAATGTATACAACTATTGAAAGATATTCCTCATAATAACCCAAAGGTTTATCAGTTGCTGTGAAATGTTTTCTAATAGTGCTTTTCTTTCTCATCAGCACATAGTTACTTTCCAAGCTCTTTGCAAGGATTCTTTTCTTTTTATTCCTGCATATTAGTTATACCAATTAAGATGTTTTGTTGTGGCGTGCTCATACATGCATATAATACACTTTGATCATTCTCCTCCAGTGCTATCTTTTTTTGTTTTTTGAGACAGGGTCTTGCTATGTAGCTTAGGCTGGTTTAAACTCACTATGCAGTCCAGGCTGGCCGCAAACTCATGGCAATCCTCCTGCCTCAGCCTCCAGAGTACAGCAATTACAGGCATATGCCACCACATCTGGCTATCTTTTCATTTTCTCCCCCCTCACCACATCATGGTATCTGATAGTCTTTCTAGAAAGCATTATTCTTTAATTTGTGCCTGAAATAATATCAAAAGCCTTATACCCAACACATAAAATACAATATAGAAACAAACACACTGCATAAATTCTCGAGAAATATTGAAGACTATTTCACGGCATAGAAAAATGCTGTATTCACAAAAATGATGAGAAAATAAGACAAAACTCATAGAGAGTGATATCTGTGCACCTGTAAGGATCCTGGCAGGTGGAGCATATATGAAATCCTACAATGACAGCTATGCAGTCTTTCCTCTTGTGGTTCACTACAATTGATGTCTACAATTTAAAAGGGTAGAAAATGGAGGATTCTTTGCTTGTCTTGGAGGGCAGCCAAGTAACAGACCACTTTGGATTTGTGAAGTGATGCTGAAAAGATCTCTAGGATTATAGATATCGCTTCCTTTTTCTGTCATCATCCATCTAATTTATTCTCTGAGACAACTAAATGCCAGGAGAACCTGCTAGACAATTATGTCTATGTGAAGAAAATCACACGAGGATGGAAAAATTTACCCTAGAAAATTAATATCTGTAAGGACAAGAGTCCTAATGCGGGTAGATTTAGGTGTGAGTGTGGTTTGAGATGGATAAATCAATGCAGAGTAAATTTGTGGCACCAGCCTAGGCAAAATACAAGGCAGCCTTGTTTCATAGAACCTCTCTGTCAGATCACACATTTTTTTCAGTCAAAAAGGTTGGGAGAAGAAAAGGCCAGCATTTGTACCCATAGAAGAAGCACTACTGCCATCGTGCAGAAAAAGTATTAGTACATCAGGCACCATGACAGTTTCCTTCCCATGAGGCCTAGCCATTGGAAAAAGGTTTGGCCTATAGGGAAATGGAAGAAGCTTTTACTCCATGCTGGACTTCCTTGCCTCTTCTAAGTCCCCCAGGAAGATGAGGACAGTGGAATTACCTTTGTGTACATCCTGTGGTGTGATGGGTATGGAATGGACCAGCAGCTGCCAGAAACACCATCACAGGAAGTCACTGGGCAGAGTGTCAGTTCCTCTCAGTGTGGACAGGACCAGAGGAACCCACTCAGAGACAAATGAAGACTCTTTGGGTAATTTTCTCATACTTTGGTTTCCTCATTGCATCAGTGTTAGAATAGCAAAGACATACTGGTTCCAAGTGATAGCTACATACTCAGGCCTGGTCCCTCACTCTCCAAGTTCTACTCAGCCTGCATTTGTGCCTGGTTCCTGGCTGGCCTCAGAGAAAAAGGTTTTGAGGCTACGCTTGGTTCTGTGTATCTGAATTCCCATGGGCCCTGCCTTCTTTAGCTGCTAGGTCTTGCATGGAGGGATTGCTCAGGGTTCAGGGCTTCATGCAGAAATTTCTTCAGGATGGAAATATTACCCCTAGAAAACCCAACTAGCTTGCTTTCAGCTCCTCATCTTCCTCCAACCAAGTCTGAGAAAAATGTGCAAGAAGATACAAAGATAACTGAAAGTGTATCTATTCTCACTTGGATGAATTTGTGGAAGCTTGCACCAGTCTTAGAATCTCCCATTTGGTTTCCATTTAATATCAGAGTTAGATCTAATGTGCGAGTACTTTGTTTCATCCCTGGCCTGATGGGGGGGGGATAGGCAAGGAGAAAAAAAATCCAAGCTACCTACCTTACCTTCATCAGGAAGCTTCTGAAGAAATGAATTCTCACATGACCAAGGCTTCCCATTTCTGATCTTCATGCAGCATTCTACCTCAACTATTTCCTTTTCATATCAAATTGTCTTGTCCAATTGGGGGCCAATCCTTGGGCTTCAATGCCTAGGAAGGGAAAGAAAATGTTCACACCTAAGGGCTTGGAGAAGAACAAATCTAGGCACTAGGACACTTCAATATACTGCCTCATTTCTCCAGATTCCCAGGAAATCCTAGTCCACATTCTAACCTTGGCCATGATGATGTTCAAGGAAGCATATTTTCTCAAGAGGATAGAAACCAAGTATACAGTGGGTTTCTAAAAATCCCCTGACACCACAACTAATCGCTTCTGTGATCTTTTAGGCTCAACACAGATTTTTTGTCACGATAGGCTATGAAGGCAGATAGATGGCTCTGTTGTAGTGGCAATCTGTGGAAAAGGAGAGCAACACTTAGTCTTGATAAAAGCATTATTTACTTCTCAATAGCTAGTGTTCTACCTGCGCTCTTCATTGTTCCTGATGAAGACTCAACAACCTTAGACACCGTTTGGGTGTGGAGATCTCCATATACCCCACTTTCACTGCAACTAAAACTTTGTGCTGCTCAATGGCAGTCTCAGGAGATAGAATTAGTAAAAGGAAACAGATTTATTCAAACCCAGATCTGAAGAAACTAGAGGACACTTCCTGTCACAAATATCTACCTTTGAGGGCAGAGGGTTGTAAAGAGCTTAATTGGGAGAAAAGGGCAAACAGTGAGATGACAGGCAGGAAATCGATGTGCTAGACTGGGCCTTCATATCTCTATTTCCTGTTCTTCCTTAAAACATAAAAAGACACCTTCACATGTTTGGGCTAAGATCTGCATTTTCTTTCAAATAAACACCCTCTTTTCTGTAATTACAGTCATATGACCTGAACAGAAGAAGAGGCATTACTGAAACCATAAGAGATTCTGAATGCTCTGTTACACTGTGGCCCATAAGTACAGAGTGCAGAAGGCTGGCTAAAATTCTGTGGGCGCCTCGCTCCTCCAGACATTCTACTTCACTGCCTGTGTCTCAGTATCTGTACAAGGTAAGTAAGCAGGTAATGCTCGGCTAGTGATCCACAGAGACCTGCAGTCCTTCAACGTCTTGTTCGGGTGTGACCTCTCCTGGGCTCCGATGATCCAGGGACTCCCAGGGAAGGGCCCTCTTGAGACATTCTTAACTCTGTCTTCCACCAAGATGGTAATGGTTATTCTTTGAAGAAAATCTGGAAGACGTTATGCATATAATGGAAGATATTCATAAGAATAAACCAAATATTATATGCTACTTTCCAATTCTTTCTCATGATGCTTTTCTTCTTTATCTGCACTTTTTCTTTCCTTTTGAATCCTTGATAAGGATCCTTCTTTTATTTTTTTATTCTCATGTATTAATTATACAGACCAGGGGATTCTATCATATTCATATATGCATACAGCATACATTGATCATTCTTCTCCACAACTGTCTTTTCTTTCCTCTGACTCCCCCTCCTTAGATCCTCTTCCTCTTCCCTAGTGGTCTCCTATCTAGTTAGCGTCACTCTTCACTTTGCAAATGACAGAATATCATAAGCCTTATATCTCACAGAGAAAACATAGAAACAAACATATCCTTTAAAATCACATGAAACATTTGAGGAATATTTCATGGCAGAGGAAAATGCATTCACACACACACACACACACACACACACACACACACACACACAGATTATAAAATGAGAAAAACCTCTAGAGTACCTTTTATAGAAAGTGATACCTACATGCCTATGAAGATCCTGCCATATGCAGCTGGTATGACATGCAAGAATAATAGCTATTTAGTCACTCCTCCTACAGCTCACGAAAAATTACTGTAATTGAAGAAGGTAGAAAATGCAGACCTCTTTGCCTCCCTTGGTGGGTTGCTAGGTCCCAGATCACTTGGATGTCTGAACTCACGCTACAGAAGATTCCCAGACTTTTACAAAATGTCCTCCTTTTTCAGCCTTCTATGTAAAATGTATACTATGAAAGACACAGCTATATCCTATGGGAAATTTCGACAACATTGAGTAAATGAAGTAAATCACACCTAAATGGACAAAGTCTTACAGAAAATTGTCTGACAGGACAAGAGTCCTAATAAAGGAGGTTGGACTTAGGCCTCCATTTAGTTTCTCTTGGAATTTAAAGCAAATTCACAGCACAGTGAGCCTGCAGCACCAGCCTGAGCAAAATTCAAGAAAATCGGGTTGACTGGTGCCTCTGTCTCTGAGTGGCAGTTTCACAGACAGGAAGGGCAGAAGAGCACTGGAGGACAGTACCTGTGCCCATACATGGAGCACTATTGCCATCATGCAGAGAAAGTATCCACACACCCACTGCCATTTCAGCTTCCTCCCCATGAGACCTAGCTGGTGGGATAAGATACTGCTTGTTGTACAGACCTGTATGAGGCTTGGACTCCAGACTGGGGCTCGTGACCTTCACCAAAGACTCCAAGAGAAATCTTGACGCTGGCACTGTCTTGATGTAGAACCTGGGTGGTGAGAGGATTGAAATGGTCTAGCAAGTGCCGGACGATGCCATCAAAGGAAGTCATGGAGCAGATCCAGGGTTTCTCCCATTGTGGCAGGACCAGAGACACCCACTCAAAGACAAATGAAGACTTTTAGGGGATGTTTTCTCCTGCACCTGCCTGTTCAAGCAAAATAAGAGGCCTTTACTCAATGTTTACGTGCTATAGGAATTTAGCCCCTCACTATAGTAGTGTGAGCACAGCAAGGACAGGCTGGTTCCAGGTGGCAGTTGCAAATTCACTCCTGGGCACTCACACTCCTGATTCTATAGAAGCACTCTGCACTTGTCCCTTGCTCCTGGTGGCCTCTGGAAAAAAGGTTAGAAGGATACAGAAACTTGAGACCATCTGATCTCTTTCTTGAAGGAAACATATAAATCTTAGGCCTTATGAAACCATTTTAGTTTAGTATATGATGAGAAATACAGGTCTTGACTCAATCTTCTGCATGTAGATAGCCAGTTTTCCCACCACTTGTTAAAGAGACTATCTTTCCTGTATAATATATATTTGGCCTCTTTGTCAAAGATCAGGTGGCTGGTCATACCTCGAGTTGTTTCTGCATTCTGTATTCTGTTCCATTAAGAGATATGTCTATTGTTTTGCCAATACTGTGCTATTTTCATCACTGTATCTTTATTTATAATTTTAAGTTTGGGATTGTGATGTCTCTTGCTTTGCTCTTGATATCCAGGGCTGCTTTTGCTATTCTGTATCTCTTCTGGATTCTTATCAATTTTAAGATAGTTTTCTCCAGTGCAGTGAAAAATGTTCTTGGTGTTTTTGTTTGGGATTGTGTTAAACTGTATACCAGTTCTGAAAGTATGGCCATTTTGACATTACTGGTTCTGCCTACTCAGGAAGAGGGGATATATTTCCATTTTCTGATATCCTCCTCAATCTCCTTTTTCAGAATACAGTATTCATTATTGAGGTCTTTCAATTTGCTGGTTATGTTATTACCTAATTATTAAATTTTTCTTGATGACATTGTGAATGGTATTGATATTCTCATTTCTTTCTTAGTGAATTTATTATTTGTATACAGGAATGTTATAAATTTTTGTGTGTTGATTTTGTTTCCTGGCACACTACTGAAGTGAGTTATAATGAAGGAGTGTTTTGGTGGAATTTTGGTGGTCTTCTATGCAAAGGATCTTGTCCTTACAAATAAGGGTAGTTTGATATCTTTTCCAATACATGTGGTTTTTATTTCTTTCTCTTGACCAATTGCTCTGGCTAACAGGAGTGGTGACAGAGGCATCCTTGTCTTGTTCCTCATTTTAGAGAAACCTTTTCCCTCATGTAATATGAAACTGGTAATTGTTTTGTCACATATATCTTTTATAATATTGAATAAGATCCTTCTGAATCTATTTTCTTCAGGGTATTTTTTATCATTAATTTTGTCAAAGGCTTTTTCTGTCTCAATTAGGATGATCATATGAATTTTGTCCTTTCTTCTCCTCAGTGATGAATTATATTTATTTATTTGCACACATTGAACCACCCCTGCATCCCTGGGTTGAATCCTACTTGGTTATAATGTATGATCTTTCACAAGATTTGTTACATTGTATGCCAATAATTTATTGAAGATTTATGCATCTATGTTCATTAAAGAGATTGGCGTATAGTTCTTTTTGGGTTGGGTTATTTTCTGATTTGGGGATCGTGGTAATGCTAGCTTGCAGGAATAACTTTGAGAGAACTCCTACCCTTTCACTTCTATGAAAGCGTTTGAGCATTGATGTCAGATCTTCCTTAAAGTTCTTATAGAATTTGGCAGTGAATATAATGGGACCTGGGTGTCTCTTCATTCATATTTTTTTATTCTTCAATTTCATTAACCATTATTGGATTATACAGGGTTTTTGTATCTGTTGGTTCAGTTTTGGTATTTCACATGTATCTAGGAAGCTATCCATTTCTTTTTTATTCATTTGTTTTTTAGCTTATTGGTACATTTTAGATATACAGTACAGTTACATTCATTATTGGGATCTTGTACCTTTACATGACAGGACTTGGTTCTCATTTTTTCCCCTATTCCTGCCCTCCCTTCTCTCCCTAGCTATCCATTTCTTTTAAATTACCCAATAGATTACAGTACAGATTCTAAAAGTAGTTACTAATAATCTTCTGGATTTTGATGGTGTTTGTTGTGATTTTGCCTTGTTAATTACACTGATTTGAGTCTTTTCTTTCTTTTATTGTTCTAAGATTGACAAAGGGTATGCCTGTATATATTTATTTTTCTTTCCAAGAACCAGCTCTTCAATTTGATTCCTTGTATTCATTTTTTATCTCAATTTCATTAATTTCAAGTACAAACCAAAGCAGTTACCTTCTTTGAGGCTTCACTGGTTTTAAGTTTTTTACAAGATCCAGGGATGTGTAAAAGTGGTTTGTGACATGTTTTTGCAAATTCAATTCTGGGTCATTGATGCTGCTGTGAAAGCATGAACTCTTGGCATTGTTATGTCACCATCCTCACTGACATCACCTTTTCTCTTTGCTTTTGGCATTTCAAGAAATAACTGTGCATCTTTACAATGTACTCAGTGCAACAATCATGTATGAAGAAATGAAATGGTCTCAGGTGTGATAGCAAACTTGACTCCATTTTTGTAAACTTGAGTGATTCTGGGTGGTCACCTTCCCTTTCCTCCCCCTTGGGAATTCCCTCAGTTAATGCCTGACAGATCTCACCATCCTGTGTGAGTCTGCAACTATGTTATCTATAGAACATTATGAACAGGATACACCCTACCTGTGTGATATTTTCTTTCCACTAAACTGTGTGAAACATCACATGAACCCAAATAACTTAGCAAATTTTTGCTCCTGTGAAATTCTGCTGGCACTCCTCTTCTTCCTGAGTCCTCCCCAGTTAGAAGAGCCTCTTAAGAGGACCCACAAGGCCCTTTTCCCTGGCCAAGGGTTTTTACAGCAGGAGCTGTTCTCCAATGCTGGCTGAAAACAAAGGACTCAACTTTGGCACAGAGTGGTAGCAATTCTCTATAATCTCTCCCCATTACGTATAACAAAGGAATCATGTTACATGTTACAAGCAAGGACTTGAAATGCTTGTGTATTTTCAAAAATTTCATTATTTTTGTTAAAATTAATAACCCACACTACTTAACAGTTTAGTCATCTTTAAGCTTCAAAGGTAGATTGAAGATGTATGTCATGTTTTTTGTTTAGATTACTTATAATATGCAGAGGACTTCTCTTTCTACTATTTGACTATGCCACTGGAGAAAAACTCTTCAAACCCTTGTCATTAGGAGAGAACACTTCTTTGGTCTCCAAATTCCTCAAAAGAGCCTACAGACTTCTGTGTGTAACTCAGAACCTTACCAAGCATCCCAGTTCCTGTAATGCGTCACCAGGAACTCTCCTGTCCAATGTGTGTATTCCCTACTATAACGGGTACAAGCCCCATAGCACAAGGACACCAAGTGGAGGCCCAGGACCTTTGCTCCCACTGGACAGAAATCACAAATAAGTGCCCATAAATTCCTGTATTTCACTTGGAGTGAAACCTTCTAATGCTCTCTATGGTGGAAAGAAACCTCAGCCTTGCAATGTCTTCCTCATTAGAATCTCTCTACTCTGTTGACTCACAACTGAACTTCCACTCTCCATGCTCTGTAACAAGACATCACCAATGATCAGATGCCCTTTAACACATTAGGAGCAGGCCAAGGAAAGAATATGGATAAAGGCCTAACTTGGAATTCACTTCAAAAAACACAAACAACCTGGGTAGGAGGAACCAACATAATGAAAATGGCCGTACTTCCAAAACTGCTGTATAGATTCAATGCAATCCCAACTGAAATTCTAGCAGCATGCTTCATAGACCTTTAAAAAGCAATCCAAAAATTCATTTGGAACAAGAAGAGACCTACAATGGCAAAAGCAATTCTAGGCAACAATGACAAGGTAGGAGGTATCACAATCCCAAACATGAAACTACACTAAAAAGCTACTTTAATTAAACAAACCGCACAGTACTGGCAAAGAAATAAACCTGAGGATGAGTGGAAGACATTAGAAGATGCAGAAACAACTCCAGACACACTGAGCCACCTCATCTTTGACAAAGGAGCCAAACACCTTCACTGGAGGAAAGATAGCTTCTTTAATAAATGGTGCTGGAAAAATTGTGTTTCGAGTTGTCAAAGATTAAAACTAGACCTGTATCCCTCACCATGCACTAAACTAAAATCAAAATGGATTAAAGATCTAAATATTAAAACAGAAACACTAAACAGACTGGAAGAGAGGTTAGGTAGAATTCTTGAAGACATTAGTATAGAAAAAGATTTCATGAAGAAAAACTCAGTCACTTGTGAACTACCACAAAGAATCAACAGGTAGGATTTTTTTTTTATTAAAAAGCTTCCGCATAGCAAGAAGAAACCACTAATAGTGTGTGAAGAGACAATACAGAATATGGGAAAAAATTCTCACCAGCTGTTTCTCAGACAAAGGTCTATTATCTAGAATATGTAAACATCTTTTATAAAAGACTTCCAAAATACAAAGACCCGATTCAAAATTGGGCATCTGAAATGAAATAGACATGAGAAAAAATGTTCAGCATCACTGGTCATTTCAGAGATGCAGATGAAAACACCACTGAAATTCCACTTCACCACAGAAAGAATAGCTGCTATCAAGAAATCAACCAATGGCCCTCTGTTGCGGATGCCACCATCGCTGCCCCAGCATCAGACAACAAGGTGAGATCTGGGGAAAGCGGCTCGGCTCAGACTTCGCATCTCCCTCGGTCCACGTGAACCCAGCCCACAGTTCCAGGTACCTGTGCCTGCTCTTGCAGGCACTGCCATTGCTACTCCAGCCCCAGGAGGGTAGCTGTGCAGGCGTAGCTGAGCACACACCCCCCACAACCCCCAGCCCCCTACCCCGCTCTCAGATCCCCTGCCTGTGCCAGTCCTTGGACCTACCAAATTTGAACATCTTTAAAGAAGGGGCAGGGGAAACCTGTGATAGAACTGTCTGGAGTTCAACCCTGCAGGAGGTTGGGGAGCTCAAATTGGTTGTTGTGGCCTGAGGTAAGTCTGCGTCACGGGGTTCTGCCTTCG